CGCGCGCCCCGCTCACAGGTGCCAACCAACCCGCCGGGATGGCAGAAGCACACCAGGCCGTGGCCTTCCAGTTCACAGTGACCCCAGATGGGGTGGACTTCCGGCTCAGTAGGGAGGCTCTAAAACACATCTACCTGTCCGGGATCAACTCCTGGAAGAAACGACTGATACGCATCAAGGTGGGCGTAGGTGGTTCAGCCTTTCTCCAGCAAGTGTGTGTGTGTGTGTGTGTGTGTGTGTGTGTGTTGGCGGAGGGGTCAGCTGCTACCCACTCACAGGGCCTGTCACCTTTTCCACTCGCAGTGCTGCTGGGTAGAGGTGCCAGCAGAGCAGACACCAGAGTGGGTGATTGAGGTGTGGTGGGGAAGCAGTGCAGGTGTGAACCTGTGAGGAGGACTAGGAAGAGCATGGAAGGTGGATGAGCAAAGACCAGGAGGCTTTTACCAGGAATCCAGCTTGTCTGATTACCTCAGCTTCCTGCTCCACAAGGGTACCTGTTTGTGCTCCACAGAATGGCATTCTTAGGGGCGTATACCCTGGCAGCCCCACCAGCTGGCTGGTTGTTGTCATGGCAACGGTGGGTTTCTCCTACTGCAAAGTGGACATCTCTTTGGGGTTGGTCTGCTGTATCCAGAGGTTCCTCCCTGAGAGGTAAGAAGCCTGGAGAGCACAAGAGTCAGAGTGGGGAGGCCAGGCCAGCTCCCAAGGCCAGATACAGGACAGCAGCCACTGGTGGCCACAAGGGCAGCCTTTCCCCAGGGCCACCATCATCCCAGTCCCACATTAGTTTATACTTGATGACTCAGACCTCAGTAGCCCAGAGAGATTCTTGCCCCTTGGTGCCTCCCTAGAGTGAGTGCATAACAATCAACTGCAGAGTCAGAATTTCCCCAAGTCACCCGGCATGGTGGCTCACATCTCTAATCCTAGCACCCCAGAGGCTGAGACAGGAGAATTGCCATGAGTTCGAGGTCATCCCAGACTATGTAGTGAGCTCACAGTGAGCCTGAACTAGATAGTGAGACCCTGTATCAGAAAACCAAAATAAATATAAAAAATAAAGGACTGGAGATGTAGCTCAGTGTAAAGGCCCTGGGTTCAATCCCTAGTATTAAAACGAGAGAGAGAGACTTCTGCCTGCCTCGCAAGCACAAGGACCTGAGTTCGATCTCCGGTACCAAAAAATAAATAAATAAAAATTAAAAATAAATAAGAGAGAAAAAGAAAATAATTTTCCCAAGGCTGGGCCCAAGGGCACCCCCTCCAAACAGTCCTCCTTCTGTCACAGGTGTGGCCCCTACCAGACCCCACAGACCCGGGCACTTCTCAGCATGGCCATCTTCTCCACGGGGGTCTGGATGACAGGCATCTTCTTATTCCGCCAAACGCTGAAGCTGCTGCTTTCCTACCACGGGTGGATGTTTGAAATGCACGGCAAGACCAGCCGCTTCACCAAGATCTGGGCTGTGAGCAGAAGCAGTGGAGGGTGCAGGCGTCTGATTTGAGCCCTCAGGGCCACACTTGGGGCTCTGAGTAGGAGGGTTAGACAGACTGAGTGCTGGTGCCTAGTGCTGGGGTTTGTCTTGAAAGGGGCTGGCAAGGTTCTGAGGGTCTCAGTCATTTGCTACTTTATGTCCATTCTTCTTGCTAGATTCCCCTCTAAAACTGTGCCCTGTACTCCCAGATCTGTGTCCGCCTTCTATCCAGCCAGCGGCCCATGCTCTACAGCTTCCAGACATCTCTGCCCAAGCTTCCTGTGCCCAGTGTGCCAGCTACAATTCGGAGGGTGAGGGCCTGGGTCCTGCTGGACATGGGAGGCTAAATTCAGAGGATTTATCTAAACACAGATGTCAGGTGCCTGTAAATAGTGGGCTTGAGAGTGATGGGTCTGGGGTGAGGACAGAGAGGTGGGGAGAAGGTTAAGACCAAGGCAGCCAGTGATGTCCGGCCCCATGATAATGACCACTTGGCTGGACAGTACCTGGAGTCTGTGCAGCCCTTGTTGGATGATGAGGAATATTACCGTATGGAGACATTGGCCAAGGAATTCCAGGACAAGACTGCCCCCAGGCTTCAGAAGTACCTGATACTCAAGTCGTGGTGGGCAACTAACTATGTAAGTTTGCCCTCCTGGGCTCTACCTCACCCACAAGACCTGGCTGCCTCTTCCCCAGTTCTGACCTCCTACCTACTCACAGGTGAGTGACTGGTGGGAAGAGTACATCTATCTCAGAGGCAGAAGCCCACTCATGGTGAACAGCAACTATTATGTCATGGTAAGAATCTGAGCCTCTCAGGCCTCGTTTGTGCTTGCTGTGTCCTCAGCTGTGGGACAAAGACAACTGGAGGCGGTTTCCATGGGAGGGCGGATTTTATGGAGTGAGGTCTGAGGCAAGGGGAAAAGAGAGGGCAGTCTAGAAGCACCTCAGGGGCAGTGAGGATCCTCAGGACCAGGAAAATTCCAAGACCCCATGGCCTGTCACTGCCTCTCGAACTTTCTCATGGCTCACTGTGCCTGCCCAGCTCAGACTGTGTCACTTCCTTTCTTGGTTCCCTCACTGGCACCCTAGTCGTAAGTTCCCAGCTATTCTGACACCATTTCCAAGGATAGCTCTAACACATGCCTTGATTTGGCCCTCTGTGGAGCCAGACCACAAGAAGAGAGTCAGGCTTATTCTCTTAGTACTCAGGAAGTCGCCTCACGTGACTGGCACTTCTCCTGACTGTCTCCAGATGGTCTCCTGCTGCCCAGTGTGCAATCTCCTCTGCTGCTGTCAAAAACACACTCCACTGAATAGCCTGCTGGAATTCACATCCTCCACAAACTGTCCTTCCAGAAATGTAGATACACCCATTCCAAACCAAGGTTTAAGATGTTTTTGAGTGGTGGAACCCCTTCTTTGAAGCAAAATATGCAAAACATGAACAAATAAAATAGGTATAAAAAGCAGATGTGGTCACAGCTGGAGCAGGAGGCATGTACGTCAGCTATGCATTTTTAGAAGCCCACTCTGACAGCATGCAGGATGGACCGTAGAGAGAAAATGCAAGCCCAGGCCTTTGGATAAATTGGCCCTCAGGCTGCTGAGACCCAGATGACACATAGACAGGGGTTCCTGCCCTGTGGGCTCTGCTCTGTCTGTAGGACCTTGTGCTTGTCAAGAACACAGACGTGCAGGCTGCCCGCCTGGGAAATGCTGTCCATGCCATGATCATGTATCGTCGCAAACTGGACCGTGAGGAGATCAAGCCTGTGAGTTGCATCGGGATTGAGGGTGAGATGAGAGGAGAGGCCTGGGCCTGAGCCATGCTAGACCTTCCTTGCAGGTGATGGCACTAGGCATTGTGCCCATGTGCAGCTACCAGATGGAGAGGATGTTCAACACCACTCGCGTCCCTGGCAAGGAGACAGGTACGCATCAGGACCACGCTCCAGCTCTGGGCCAAGCATGGCCAGGTGCCCTTCTATCTACTCACAGCCAGTCACCTCAAATGTCTCAGAGTAGTGAGCCTGTGAAGAGTAGCTTGTAACAAATCCTAAACATAACAAATCTTAGACATCTGTTGTTTGTTTACAGCATGATACTGGTGCTGGGACTCCAAGGAGCCCAAATCAGAGCTTCTCTCCTCCAAGTCCCCTTGCCTGAGAAGGTGGTCATGGGAAGCAGCACTGTGTGCTAGTGGGGCTCAGGAGAAGCATATTTGCCCTTCATGCAGCCTACAGAAGAGAGAGTTTGGCAGAGGCAACTGACTTTGCTGTTTCTGACCCTGCCTCTTTGGGTAGTTCACATGGGCTTCCTCCTCAGTGGGGTACTTCACAGGGTTGCTCTGAGAAGTCACACAGGGCCTGGCCCAGCACACAGGATCCACCCCGGCCAGGGGAAGGAAGGGCCAAGGCAGGGGCTGGTCAAAGCAGAGCTTGCCGGGCCACTTATGTGTGGGAAGTGGGCCCTTGCCAGGGCTCAGGAGGGGGGCATGGTGCTTCCGAAGGCTTTGCCTCAGCCTGCCCACTGACCATCACAGATATGCTGCAGCACCTCGCCGAGAGCAGACATGTGGCTGTCTACCACAAGGGCCGCTTCTTCAAGGTGTGG